GAGGACCCCACCCACTCCCTCCTTCTATTAGCTTCTACAATCCTACGGAGACCCCAGCATACTCGCCACTCCACTCCTACATTCTAGCACTTCCTACGGCAGACCGCCACACACTCCCTCCTTCTATTCTCTAGCCAAATCCTACGGAAGAACCCCAGCACACTCCCACTCCACCTACTACTCTAAGCAACTCTCTACAATCCAGCTCCCCTATCCTACTCCTTCTATGCACTCCTGACGGACCCCCAGCGCACTCTCTCCTTCTATACTTCTAGCAATCCTACGGAGACGCCCAGCGCACTCCCCTCCCTTCTATTACTTCTAGCACTCCTACGGAGACCCGAGCGCACGTACCCCTCCTTCTATTTACTTCTAGCACTCCTACGGAGACCCCGCACTACTCCCCTCCACCTACTACTTCTTGCACTCCTACGAGAACTCGATTTTATGGCCACAACGCACGGGCAACAGCCGCGTCGATATCAGTCTGGCGAGACTCGCGAAACGTTCCAAACGGAAACCGGCGCCGTTCAACAACAAGACCCGAATTCCGATCCGAACGTCGAAACCGATCTCTACTCCGACGCCCGGCGAAGCTGATCCGGATCCGCGCGATGGAAGCTGTTACTTTCATCAACATCAATCGAACACCGGCGCGCGTCGGTAATGACAAACGCGTAACCACGGCAACATCGGAGGGAGATCCGAATCCGACCACTACGACGACGCTGCATCCCTATCACAGACTCGCGGTGTCCGGCCGTGCCTATACGGCGCCCGTGAGCGCCATCTCTCTAGCGGAGTGCTCGATAGTCTGTCGCAGATCGGTCGCCAGAAGACAGCGCTCACAGATGGCAGCACCGTCGCCACGTCGTTGACGGGCGGCTGACGAGCTGTCCTCACGAATAAACCAGTCAAGGTCATCACAGCAGCGCCAACGATAGTGACTGGTGAACGGGCGGCGGGTTTTTCTGGAGATAACACAGCAGTTGGTGACTTTGTCAGTGACGCTGGCTCGGCACGTAGGGTAGCGGAGCACGTGACAGCGTCGGGAGGTGAAGCCATACTGACGCATACACCTTATAGAACTGACCGCCGACGATGACGATGGAGAATCTTGCTATGGCCTAGTGATGAGACATTACCGTGCCTCGTGAGACATCTGCTATGCTTAGTGATGAGACATCTACCGCTGCCTCGTGAGACATCTGCTATGCCTAGTGATGAGACATCTACCGTGCCTCGTGAGACATCTGCTACTTGCTAGTGATGAGACATCTAGCGTGCTCGTGAGACATCTGCAATGCCATAGTGATGAGACATCTACCGCTGCTTCGTGAGACATCTGCTATGCCTAGTGATGAGAACAATCTACCGTGCCTCGTGAGACATCTGCTATGCTACCGTGATGAGACATCTACCGTGCCTCGTGAGAATCTGCATGCCTAGTGATGAGAAAGTCTACGCTGCTGATGAGACATCTGCTCTGAAGTCGATGAGACATCTACCGTGCCTCGGAGACCATCTGCTATGCCTAGT